AATGACATTTCAGCCGAAAGCTTTCAAACTGGTGGCTAAGTTTAGGCTCCAAACCCCGTAGTTAGCGATTCACATTGACTGCAGTGGGCTTTGGATTAGGACTGCGGATGTGAGATGGGCGATCCAGCTGGCATTGCCTGCAGGGGTCTCTCTCCTAGGTATCCAGCACTTCCGAAAACTGGGCCTTTTTTGTTTGTTTAGGGGCCTGTTCAGCCGAAAGCTTTCAAACTGGTGGCTAAGTTTAGGCTCCAAACCCCGTAGTTAGCGATTCACATTGACTGCAGTGGGCTTTGGATTAGGACTGCGGATGTGAGATGGGCGATCCAGCTGGCATTGCCTGCAGGGGTCTCTCTCCTAGGTATCCAGCACTTCCGAAAACTGGGCCTTTTTTGTTTGTTTAGGGGCCTGAATGGAGCTTTTGACATCCCGGCCTGAGTCCCTAGGCGCTTTCAGGACACACGAACACCTGGGATTCATTTCTGCTTAGATGTCCTTGTACACGTGAACAGCTTTCCAGGTATATGAATTACTGGGCTGGATCCGAGCAGGGGTCCCTGTAATCCAGGTTCCTGGTCACCAGGACCAGCTACAATGCACCCTGCAGCCATCAAGTCTGGGGCAATCTCCCACAAGGATTCCTCAGGATCTCCCGAAAACAGAAGTCGGTTTATGCCCCGGAAGAGGGAAGCCTAGTTCCCTTCCAAAACGCTTCTGTTTTTAAACATGGGACCGTCTTCCCAGATTTACCCGGTGTTGCTCGGGTCCCTAACTCAAATACGGTTTTTTTCTTCGTTTAAATGATTTGTGCTGGGGTGGGGCTGGGGAGGAGGGGGTCAGGGTGCAGGCAGCCTTGGGGAGGGAGGACAATCCCAGCCTTCTCTCACTGCAGCAGCTTGGGGCCAGGTGAAAAGTGCTGGCCCATGGCTACTGCAGCTGCAGTGGGCACTGCCTGGGGAGGTGTGCATGTCCCCCACTAGGGGACAGATACACAGGGCAGCTATCGACTAGATAGTTTAGAGGGTTTGTGTGTCTATCTCCACCCCCCCTCCTGCTGGCCCAATGGGGTTATAGTGGGCCTGGTCAGCATATCTGGCCCCTGGCTGCGCCCTGTGGCCATGCTGCAGTACGACTCCCTCCTCCCAGACCCCTCCCTTTCCATTCTGTGAGCAACAATCCAATTCCAGGCACATCCCATTGTCCAGCCTCAACCAGCCCGCAGCTTGCTTTACGTTATGATACGGTGGTCCTGTCTGACCATGTAGGAGGAGAACCCGACACACAGATGGATGGACAGACAGACGGACGGACGGACACCCTTTTCCAAAATCTACAGTAAAGATTATAAATTGGGATAGTCTTGAATTTCCTAACCGCAGGCCAGATTCCCACTAGCTTGATTCACCCTAACTCCACTGCAGCCCACTTAGGAAAGGTGTCTGAAAGGCAGCGTGTCGGTGGTGTGTGCACGATGGGCTGCGTTCTCACCTCCCAGACACCGGCGTGCCTGCACTGACTTCCGTGGAGCTGGGCTGACTTACCAGCTGGAAACCCTGCTCCCTAATTCTAAACGCCCTTGAGACTAGGAGTAACAATTTCCACGCAGGCCCTCCGGACTGATGGGGGCTTTTTTGCACTAGTGCCCTTCCCCGGCACATGGAAGGCAACTCTGTTGCTGACCCAGGTTGTGGTCTCGTAGGGCGCAGTGTAATTGGCGAGGCGCGGAGGGAGGGATTATCCTGCAAACAGTCTCCCTGGCCGGAGGGTTAGAAGGCTCACAAGCCGCCACTGTACTTTGTCGCTGCACGGTGAGGTGGGGAGGTGCCAGCGAATGGCAAAAGTGCTCCGTTGATTGGTTACCCAACTGAGCAATGCTCAGCTCTATGGTTTTTTAACCCGGCCACATCAGAAGCCTCAAGGTAGCCGCAGATCAGATCCGGGGCTGGGGCAGGTCAGAGGCGTCCCACTGGCGTTGGTGGGGTTCTGCCAGCTCACACCGGCCTTCTTCTACCAACCGCGGGGGGAGATTAGATGACAAAAGGGCTCGAACAGGTCATTTGCCTTTGAGGTGTGGTTGAATTCTGGCTTACAGTCTATTCCCCACTAAATCCTCCAAGCAGGGCGTAAGTCGCTTTTAAGTCGTGCCATGGGCCTTTGCGCTGGGCCTCTGCCTTGGAGTCAATTTAATCCTTTGTGTGCACTATAAAGAAGCATTTTGCATTAGCGACGGGCGATGCCTGTGCTTGCAAATCCACTTTGCAATGTGGGAGGAACAGAGCGGCACTAAGGATGAAAGCAGGGAAATGTGCCCAGGTATGTTCTGGGGATTTGTAACAATGAGAACAGATGTTTAGCACTTGCCTCCGCAGACTTCAAAGTGCTTCACCCAATGGTGTCACTTGCCCCATTTTAGGGAGAGAAACTGAGGCACAGACAAGGAGAGACAGGGTCTAAGGTCATAGTGGACCACAAGCTAAATATGAGTCCACAGTGTGACGCTGTTGCAAAAAAAAAACCCAAACCTGGGCTGCATGAACAGGAGTGGGGTGAGCAAGACACGAGGAGTCGTTCTTCTGCGCTGATTAGGCCTCAGTTGGAGTGTTGGGTCCAGTTCTGGGCACCACATTTCAAGAGAGATGTGGAGAAATCGGAGAGGGTCCAGAGAAGAGCAACAAGAATGATGCAAGGTCCAGAGAACATGAGCTGTGAGGGAAGGTTGAAAGAATTGGGTTTGTTTAGTTTGGAAAGGAGAAGACTGAGGGGGGACATGAGAGCTATTTTCAAGCACCTAAAAGGGTGTCACAAGGAGGAGGGAGGAAACGTGTTCTCCTTCGCCTCTGAGGACAGGACAAGCAGCAAGGGGCTTAAACTGCAGCAAGGGAGGTTTCGGTTGCACATTAGTAAAAGCTTCCTACCTGTCAGGGGGTCAAACACTGGAATAAGTTGCCTGGGGGGGTTGTGGAATCTCCATCCCTGGGATATTTCAGAGCAGGTTGGACAGACGCCTGCCAGGGATGCTGCTGGGTCCTGCCGTGGGGGCCAGGGACTGGATTCGAGCTCTCGAGGGCCCTGCCAGCGCTAGTGTTCTGGGATAGCCTCTGGCCCGTGCTCACTCCATCGCCGAGCGCAGGGCTGGGTGGAGCTCTAGGCTCTGTGACGATGGTTTTTGAGCTCCTGGGTGGCAGAAGGTCCGTCACAGGGTCACCTTGCTGTAGGGGGCCCAGCCGGGCGCTAAGGCAGGTTTCCTGCCCCTCCAGGCCCTGCGGGCTGCCCTGTGCTGCAGAAATGGCCAGCAGCAGGTCTGGCTCCTAAGCCGGGGGGTCATGGGCCTCTGTGTGCTGCCCCCACCGGAGTGCTGGTGCTGCACCTCCATTGGCTGGTTCCTGACCAACGGGAGCTGCGAGGGGTGCGCAGTGCACACATTGCTGGACCTGCTGCCGGCTGCGTCTGGGGGCAGCGTGGTCTGCGGTGCCAGGGCAGGCAGGGACCTGCCTCAGCCCCCCCCACTGCACCGCTGCCCAGGAGCTGCCAGAACTAAGCCTGCACCCCAAGCTGCACCCCAGCCGGAGCCCTCCCAAAGCGCTCACCCCCGGCCACACTCGGGACCCCGCCTGCTTCCCGACAGGTATCGTCACGTTGGGTCATGGGCATCACCAGTTTTCTTCAGCTGGGTCACTAGACAAACAGTTTGCAAACCGCGGCTCTGAGTCCTACCCAGAGCTCTCACCGCTAAGCCCTGCTGCCTTTCGAAGGCCTGGCGGGTTCATAAACGCACCGACCGTTCTATTAGAACATAAGAGCAGCCAGACTGGGCCAGACCAAGGGTCCATCCAGCCCCGTGTCCCGTCTGCCCACAGCGGCCACTGCCAGAAGCCCCAGAGGGAGGGAACAGAACCGGGAACCATCATGTGACCCCTCCCCGTCTCCCATTCCTAGCCCCTGACAAACAGAGGCCAGGGACACCGCCCCTTCCCTGCCTGGCCAATAGCCATTGATGTACCATGAATCTATCTAGCTCTTTTTTGAACCTTGTTAAAGTCCTGACCTTCACCACATCCTCTGGCGAGGAGTTCCACAGGTTGACTGTGCATTGCGTGAAGAAAAACTTCTATTGGTTTGTTTTAAACCTGCCACCTATTCATTTCATTATCATGCTCACTCCAGGAACTTTTATTAATGGGGATAGTATACGACAGTCACAGTTCCCTTTGTCCCCCCCGCCTTATGCTACCACAATGCCACCCCAGTTTGGGTTCCTGGCGCCCCAGCTGCTACCGCCCTTGGGCAGAGAGATGTGCCACAGTCTGAGCAGGGTGTCTGCAGCCTGCACTGTCCCCTGGCTCTGCCATGAATTTCCCCAGCTAAGTCAGATTGCCCCTGCCAGCCGGCTCGGCTTCGTTCCTCCTCGGCAGTGGAATCGCCCAGTTTAGCTGCCACCCTGCTCCCGCAGAGCCAGCCTGCTGACTTGTAAGGTCAGAGCGCTCGGGAGAGAGCCGGATTCAGAACCACCGGAGAACCGACATGCAGCGGGGAGACTAGTCCGGCCTCTCCCCTGTCCCCAGCTCCCCCACGAGCCGAGAGCCATTCCCTCCTCCAGCGGGGCCTGTGGCCCTGTCCGCACCTTGCGGGAGGAGGGCAGACAATGGGGAGCCCGGGGCACAGCTTGTCAGGGACGGGTCTGGAGGCAGGGTTCCCGGGAAGCTGGGCACTTGGGCAGCTGCTCAGGAGCGAGTCCAGTGACACCCAGCTGACTGACAGAGCACCCCCAGCTGGGTTGGTTTGGTGCACATCTGCACATGCCTTGGTGCACATAAAATTATTCTGCACATGGATGGGAAAGATGCGAAGGAACGTTGTAGAAATGGGTAATTTGCATCCTCTCTCCTCTTCCCCGTATTTCCTAGGGATCTGTGGGACTAGGCCGGGCCTCTCTTTTCTGGCAACATCCAGGGTCCAGCAAGGCAGAGAGCCCCAGTGGCAGGGAGAGGGGCCTGCTGGGAGGTC